ACCCCTGCCCAGCCCCCCTCCCCGCCTCCACGACTCCCCCATGCCTGTCCCCAGCACTAGCAGCACCCAGCTTCAATTCTCAGGGAGACAAGCGTGCCAAATCGGTCGAATCTGGAGGCCCGGCGAGCTCTTTTCTTCCTGAGGAGTTTTAACCCAGAATAAAAGGCGTCAATTAGCAGCCTTTAGAGCTGACAGGGCAATTAAAGTTAAATTGCAAGACGGAGCGAGAGCTGGAAGAAGGAGGAAGGAAAGGAAAGGGGAGAGAGAGGGAGAAAGAGAGGGAGAGATTTCAAACGTATTTTCGGTGACAGCTGCATTTTTGAGGAGGGAGAGCCTCTCAAACTACAACTGGCTGTTTGGATATATTTTCACTTGTGAAGTGATATTTTCAGGGAACACGGATACTCCCAGTTTATTGCACTTTTCATGTTAGGTCTGAGCTGCTTGGAAAAATTAAAACAAACACAAAGCAAAAGGATCTTGTCTTTACAAAGGCTCCCAACTGGCTGGGTCCCAACACACCCGTTGCTTTGCAGGGTGAGTTAGATGCAACATGAAATGGTGAGGGTAGATGTGTGGGTGGGTGAGGGTGGTTGGGACAGTCAGCCCTAAACTGGGTTTTGGGGCGCCCAGAGCTTAGAGCTGATGACTTGGTCATAATGCTCCTGCACACCCCTGGGCTTTCAGCTCCGTTTCCTAGTCTGGGACACCAAGTCAGATTATAAAACTATTGTGAAACAAAACCTTTTTTGGTCTACTTCTAGGTGACTTTCCTTCACTGATGACGATGGCTGTTTAATTAATTCTTGAATGCCCCTTCTTTTAACCTAAGCTTACCCAAGTCATTATTCCTAATGGAATAATGCTAATGCTGCCTCTTGGTAGATCTTTCAGTAACTTAATTTCCTCGCATTTACGCAAAAGCAGCAGCTTTTTGTGGTATTAAGCGAGCTGGGAGAGCCAGGGGTTGGGAGTGGGACCTGGGAGGGCTTTGGTTTGGGACGTGGGAGGGCCTGCAACTTTTTAAGTGCTGATCGGAATTCATAACAAGAGCAGTATTAATTTGTGATTCAGTCTTGCAGCATGCCAGTTCAAGGCAATGGAGCCCATGGTGCTGTGCACAGGGCCGCACGCAAGAGAGAAATGTAACATAATCAGAGTGGGGTCAGCCTGGAGAAGCTAGAGCTTTGCTCACTTCCACAGCCTCCTACCCCACCCCCACTCCCAGCCCCCAACCCATGGAGGAAACAGGAACTACACTTCTAAAGACGATGTTCCCAAAGTCACCCTTGCTTTGTTGGACCTCAAGTTTCAGTCTCCCTTCCTACGTTTATAGTCCTTTTTTCAGGATCCTCCTTCACTGTTTAGGGAAACTACCACTTCTGCCCATGCATTGAATGCAAGGTGGGGCCTATTATTAGACCTATTTGACGTAAGAGGAAGCAGAGGCTGAGAAAAATCCAATAACTTGCTCAATGTCACCTAGCTAGTAAGAGGTGGTGCTGGGATTGGAACTAAGTCTAAATCTAAAGGCTGGCACAGTGGGATTTGTAATCCCAGCAATTTGGGAGGTTGAAGTGGGAGGATTGCTTGAGCCCAGGAGTTTGAGATCAGCTTGGCCAATGTGGAGAGACCCCGTCCCTACCAAAGAAAAAAAAAAGAAAAAAAGAAAAAAAAAATTAGCTGGGTGTCATGGCACAGGTATGTAGTCTCAGCTACTGGGGAGGCTGAAGCGGGAGGATCTATTGAGCCCAGGAGGTCAAGGCTGCAAGTGAGCCATGACAGTGCCACTGCACTCCAGCCTACACAATAGAGGGAGACCCTATCTCAAAAACGAAAAATAAAATAGGCCGTAATCCTAATCTTCCGAAAAACCTTTTATTTATTTATTTATTTTTGAGAGAGAGTCTTGCTCTGTCACCCAGGCTGGAGTGTAATGGCGCAATCTCAGCTCAAATGCAACCTTTGCCTACCAGATTCAAGCAATTCTCTTGCCTCAGCCTCCCGAGTAGCTGGGACTACAGGTAGCCACCACTATGCCCCACTAATGCTTTTTGTATTTTTAATGGGGACAGGGTTTCACCATTCTGGTCAAGCTGGTCTTGAACTCCTGACCTCAGGTGATCCGCTTACTTCAGCCTCCCAAAGTGCTGGAATTACAGGCATGAGCCACTGTGCCTGGCCTGTTACTTGTTTATTTATTTTTATTTTCAAGAAAAACTTCAATGTCAGATTAGGAGAAAGAAAGAAAACTGCATATGTGTAACTCATCAGCTTAAAGAAAATAAAGAAGTATAACATAAAGAAACCAAAATCAAATGCAATAATCTTAATTTCAATGTGTTTCTTTTATGCCATTCTTATTACTAAACATAACTATTATATAAATGAATAATAACAAACTTGTGGTAAGTACTAATCGCTTAAAAAAGTTTGAGAGATATAGGGTTCACAATTTTAAGAAGTTTATAACCTAGCAAAAGTAATCACCATAATTAAAGCTAGCACCTACTGAATATTTACTATGTAATAAATATTCAATCCACATTAATTCAAGATTAATTACATTCTTATTAATTTTCATAATAATTCTACAGAGTAGGAACTGTTATTATTCCCATTTTACTGACCAGGAAACAGAATTACAGAGTTTTAGTAACTTACCTAGTATCATAGAGGTCTATCTCACCTCTGAGGCTATACCCTTACTCATAGACAATAAAAGGAAATTAGTCAATATAGGATAATATATATCTTGATTATCTCAATACCAACAGAAATTCATGACATTAGTGCAATGACAAACAGAGAAAAAGCTTGGTAGGAAACCCTTTTTAATATAGAATTAATGCTCACTTGGATGAGGCTAAGCTTTGAAGCCCTTGGTAAAGTGGGACTTGCTGGTCTTAGGAGACTGGTGATACTTTAAAGACAAGAGTCAACACGCCTGGAATCAGCACTTGTGAGCTGAAAGGACCTGAGAGTGATGTTTAGTGGAGGGTCTCTCCAACTGGGGTCTAGGGCTCCTGGATTTTGGAGAACCTGCTCTCAGGAGTATAATGAGATTAAATATTTGGGACATATCTGGCTCAAGCCCTGCCATTTTGACAGCTCAGGAAGGTGAGAGGCTAAAGGTCACACAATTAGTTATGGCAGGTGAAGTCTTAGCCAGGACTCTTATCTTTGTCCAGGACGATTTCTGCTAACTAGCATTTTCTGACGCTGGATTTACACTCACACAGCTTGATGGAAACCCCTTAAGGGCAGGGACTGATTCTAGGGGCTTTAATAGATATTTGGAGAGTGAATGTGTAAAAACAGTTTAGGAGTAGTTACAGGTACATAAACACTTGATATGCTAATTACAGACCAGTGTTACTTGTACTCAGGGGTATTGATATTTGGCCACAGTTCAGTCTCCTAATCTCAACTGCTTAAATCAAGTAAAATCACCTTTCTCTGTATACCCCGAGTACTTCTCAATTCATTCCACATTCAATAATATTTTATAGTACCTAATATAGGCCAGGCACTGTTCCAGGTTATAAACAAAATAGACTAATTCCCCACTTCCCTCCCCACCTTCTTTGCAAGATATTGACAGCCATATATACATGTACTTTTAATGAGGTGGAGTCTTGCTATGCTGCACAGGTTGGTCTTGAACTCCTGAGCTCAAAGCTATCCTTCTGCCTCAGCCCTCCAAGTAACTGGGATTACCAGTGTGCACCACTGAGCCTGGCTGACATGCCATATTGCTATTAAATGGGATTTGGTTTGGTTAGAGTTTGATAGAGAGAAGTCCAGTTTAATTTTTCTACTTGGAGGCGATGACTCATCTAATATATTTTGTGGGTTTGCTTTTTCATAATTTCTTCTATTATGCCTAAATAGATGTTTCTTCCCTTTAAAATTTTTTAAAATTACAAAGTACTACATTAAAAAAGTAAAACAGCCGGGCGCGGTGGCTCAAGCCTGTAATCCCAGCACTTTGGGAGGCTGAGGTGGGTAGATCACGAGGTCAAGAGATCGAGACCAACCTGGTCAACACGGTGAAACCCCGTCTCTACTAAAAATACAAAACATTAGCTGGGCATGGTAGCGCGTGCCTGTAATCTCAGCTACTCAGGAGGCTGAGGCAGGAGAATTGCCTGAACCCAGGAGGCGGAGGTTGCGGTGAGCCGAGATCGCGCCATTGCACTCCAGCCTGGGTAACAAGAGCGAAACTCCGTCTCAAAAAAAAAAAAAAAAGTAAAACAATGCAGGAATATAAGAGTAAACATATGAATGTCTCCCTCATTCCTCCCTTAAGTAGCCAGTGTTAATGGTGTGGTGGTGTATGTTCTTCTCCCATGGTACATATATACAATAGTCATGCAAAACATAATATCTACTCATATATGAAGTGGACAGTCATCCCTAGAGGGTACAGGGCTGGGGTGATTCAGTCAGTGGGGTTGGCCAGGATAATTATGCTTCATATGGTTCTGCACTTGTAGGCATTTTTTATAGGCCTCTTAGGACATCATTAAGAACAGAACTTTCAAAATTAAATTTTAATGATATTCAGAAAAGAGTAGTCAAAGGTAGCACCTTACAGCTCCCTCTCCTTGCCCCACCTTCCCTGAATGCCTAGGCCCAGAACAGCCTGAACTCTGTTTGAGGCCCCAGGGGTGGGTCCCAACTTGAATTTTTCATCTTGTTTTAAACAACAACGTTTGATCCTATTATCAACGCTATTTTATTTTCAACTTGCTTTATTTTTTAACACATTTAGCAACATGGATATATGTCCATAGGATTACAAACAGAGTAGCACATTTTTTGTGACGGTTGCGTGCTCTTCCGTAGTGTGGAGGGATCATGATTATTTATTTATTTATTGAAATGAAAGGTCTCATGTATTTATTACTGAACCCGGTCAACCAATGCGTTCATAACAGATTCATCAGAGAAAAATATATTCCCAATAAAATGTGTCCAGCTGTCCAGATACTGACATTTTCAGCTTAATAAGGTAAGATGGTCATGACCTTGACCCAGCATAAATATGTGTGCCATTAATGTGACCCAGCATAAATATGTGTGCCATCTCATGTGCAATTCCTTATAGACCCAGCTTGGGTCTTCTCCAGTGTCTCCTTTTGGAGTTGTACCTGATTTTATTACCAGTTTTCACCAAATCCACCGGGGAATGAGACGATTCTGCTTTTGTTTCTTGGCCAGGAAACATTTAGTCCCGAAAGTCTTGTGAGAAGATGTGGTGAAAAGCAGGGTCAAGCATATACCATGATGGCGGATAAGGGAGCATGATTTTTTAAAAAACAGTTTTCCTAATAAGAAGCATTTGGCTTTCTACAATTTTTTCTTTTTCTTTCTTTTTTTTTTATTGTTAGATAGGGCTGCTGTGGAACAGCTTGGACAGATGTCTTCTGCTCACTCGTGAATATTTCTTTAGGATAGAGTCTTAGAAGCGAATTATTGGATCTAAGGGTTTGTGCATTTGTAATTTTGATACTGCCAATTTCCCTTTAAGAAGTTGCAATTTGTATGCCAGTCAGAATGCCCTTTACCTGTCCATACTATAGTGGGCATTTTTTTGCTATTCATTATGCTAATTCCAGTCGACCAGTGGGATATGATCAGTGACAGGTCCTCAAGTGAGTAAGGGAGATGAACCAAGAATGTCCTGAGAATTTACCTTTGTTAAATTTCCCTTAAACAACCCTTCCCAACAGAAGTGGAGCTGAGATCAGTAATAAACAAAATAAACAAATAAGACTTCAGAGACATATGGGTATTTGTCAAGTTCTGAAGCAAATGGATTGCACCATCTGAGCTGGTACAAGAAGATCTATCTTCCTTGCTGATCTTAATCCTGCTGAGTTCTACCTGGATTCTGTCCTTGGAGCTCTAGGAAGCCCATGGGGGCTGGAAGGATATGGGTTTCTTCAGTTCATAGTTCTCAAAATAGTGAGGGCCAATCCCTAAGCAAGGCTATCTTTTTGAACACGGCACATGGTGACTTTTCACCCATAAGGAGACACTTCAAAAAAGGTGTCTTTGGCCTTTGACAGGTAGCCTACTTTAGGAGAAAGGGCACTAGAATGAGAAGGAGGTATTGAAAGACTGGCTACCACCTGGTCTTTGCCATTTACTAGCTTAGCACCTGGTGCTGTAGCACCTGTATTCACTGCCAAGAATTCCAAGAACCCCAGGTCCCTAACCCATTGGACATGATTATGTCATATACTCTTCACACTTCACAGGGCTGCTATGAAGAGAGCATGCCTCGGTGTCCCAATGCAGTATGGGAAAGTTTTATAAGAGGTATGCCGTTTTGAAAACTGCAGATTTGATGGATCATTGGTAGGAGGACGACTGCTTTGATACAGATACAGAGAGCACCTTGGATAGTATTTAAGTCTATGCATAGATATTAACAGACTCTGATATCTGAGTGCTTTGGGAAAAGAGGTCTTGGATTGAATTTCTAAACCATGTTTCTTTGGGCTTCAGATAAGTTTTTGAGAAGTTTGAGGAGTATCAAGGAGCTCCTGGGGTTGCTTTTACAATACTGTGAGACATTTGGGGAGAGGATGACAGAAGGGTGTGTAATTGCCCAAGACGGTGAGGTTAACTTTTAGCTATTGGGCTTGGCACATGGTAGGAGTTAAGAAATAATGGAGTGAATGCATGAATAATGCTCATGCTGAAAACCCCAAAGGTGTGAATATCCTCTTTGACCTTGAGTTGGAGATCACATGCCAGCCCTGACATTTTGCTCACTGCTTTAATGACATGATGCTATGTTATAGCATAGCTATGTTATTAATAGCTATGTTACTACCTGGCATTGTGCTTGACTCATGGGAGGTGCTCAGTTAGTGTTTTAATTCTGCTCCCTCTGCCTTCCGTGGACCTTCTCTCTTCATTGCACAGTTTGAATAGATTCCCCATTCCCTTCCCCATGTTTTTTGGCATATGGGATGATTATGTATCATTACTGCAGCCAGATACAATTGTATTCCAGTTTCAACTTTGCCATGTGCTGTGTTTTATGATGGTGAACAAAGTACTTAACCTAGCTTTGCCTCAATTTCCCCATCTGTAGAATAGAGATAATAATAAATGGCTCAGGATTCTTGTGACGTTTACATAAAATGAGGTGCAGGTTGCTACTCCCATGTTTACAACCCAACACAATGAGGCATTTGAGATGGTTATACTTTACATAATTTGAGTTATGATGACCACAACAACTAACATTTTGGTGGGTAATTGCTTCCAATCCCCTGTAACCACTTTAATTCCGTTCTTATAAGATGTCATGAAATTATGTCTCAGAGAGGTGAGGTAGCTTCTCCAATGTCTCACCACTAGATATGATGGAGCTATATTTCTGCACCAGGCTGAATCCCTAAGGCTAATTAAATGGCACGTTCCTGACTTGGCTCCTATTCCAGTTACAGAGACCCATGGGTATTTGTCAAGTTCTGAAGCAAAGGGATTGCATCATCTGAGCTGGTACAAGAAGACCTATCCTTCTTGCTGGCCTTAATCCTGCTGAGTTGTACCTGCATTCTGTCCTTGGAGCTCTAGGAAGCCCCAGGGGGTTGGAAGGGTATGGGTCCCTTCAGTTCACAGTCCTCAAAATAGTGAGGGCTGATCCCGGAGCAAGCCCATTTTTTTAAGTCTGTGGTGGGAGGTGATCTCACGGGGAAGGAGGTCCCCAGGGAAGAGTGAGGTTAAAGAAAGCCAGACTGGGAATGACCTCCGAACACTGGCCTCTCCCTCCTGACCTCCATCCATCACTGCTTCCCTCTCCCAGCATCTCCAGTCTCCTGGGGGACGGCTGTCTCCTCCTTTCTTTTCTCTTTAGCATCGGGGAGGATGACTCAAACACTGCCTAAGGGCACCAAAGGCATCCACAAATTGGTCCCAATCCCAGCTAATGAGGAAGGCAAGAGAGGAGACAGGCAGGCTGGGTCCTGTGGCTTTGGGCTGTGAGAGGAGGGGAGATGGGGGCAGCCAGCTAGGCCCTCCTCTGACCCCACACAGCCCCGAGGCCTGAGGCTCGAGGCCCCATACCCTGGGCATGTGGATCAGGCTTCTCTGAAATGCCTTCTGTTCCAAACCAGTAAATAAACAGATCTGTCTCCAACCTTCCTCCCTCCTTTCCAAAGTCACACTTACCCACATAAAATCAAGTGGCTCTGGTGGTATAGAGGAGAAGTTAAAAGCACATCTTTCATTCAGAGCCCAAAAGATCTTAGTTTCCATTCCAGCTTGTGGGTCCCAGCATAAGCCACTTGACCTCTCTAAGCTTCAGTCTTCTCATCTATGAAATGGACCCAGTATTCTCTGTTTTGGAGAGCTACGAAGTAGAGGTTAGTTCAGACATGTGAATTGCCTGGAACCCAATCCTTCAGGAAGTGGTGTCTTTTATTATTTTAAACAACCTCCTCCCCCTACACCAGCCCTATCCCCCATCACACACATTTAGAGCAGGCAACTACAGCACTGACACAAATCCCAAGACCCATTTTTCAAAACATTGCCTTTCTTTTAAAATTGATCCTAATATGACTTCTTGTAGTGCTGGGACCCTACCCTCCTAGGCCAAACTGCAACATCAGCATCACGGATTAAATGCTCTTAGTGTCAAATTGGGGCAGCCCACTCCCTCGAGTGACATGGGTGTGGGGGTGGGGGAGGAGAAATACTAGCCAAATAATACAGCCAAGGTTGTTCTGAGGTCTTCCATGCTAACTCTTTCCTTTCCCCATCACTAAGTAATCTCTTCTAATTTAAGGTGGTCTCCTCGGTGGATAAACTCAGCTGACTTCCTTTTTTTTTTTTCACGCCTGGCTTGAAGTAGGAAATTATATTGGTAAGTCTCACTACGGTGGATGTTATTAATGTGCTTAATGGGCACTCAAGGCAGTTTAAAGATCTTAGCCTTTGCACTGTGCTTTATCCCACCCTGGGGGTAAATAATGGAGATGCTAACACAGTCTGTAAAGGGGAAAGAGCAGAGGTGGGCTGCCTGCTTCACAGGGCCAGGATGCTTTGATGGCCTGTCTGCCGGCAGGTGATGAAATCAGCTTTCTCGTTTTTATATCCCTTTCAAAAGGCCAATTCTCCCAACACAATGCACATTTCCAAGTGGTTTTTAATTTGGCATGAAAATGTCTTCTTTATCCTGGACTAGAGGCAGCAGAGTTAATGGGAAACACACATCTGGGCAGCTGTGCTCTCCCAAGTGAGGAGGTGAGCACTGGGGGCACGAGTATGGTGAAGGATTAAAGACAATGGCACGCAGCCCCCATCAACCTACAGGTTTTAATCCATCACACCGGAATTGTAAGATTTCATTGCTATCTGTGGCTTCTAGGAGTGGCCATAGGTTCCTTCCTTTTCCTTCATGGAGATGAGGTATGGGGTGGTGGGAGGGTCAGTGAATCTTTGGGTGGTCTTTAGTTCTTGATCCCAGGCAATGGGGGGCATTCTCCTTGAGTTCTCTACTAAGGGAGTCCAAACTGTTTCCTAGATGGCCCCTCTTTTGCTGTAGACATTTCCTGTGCCTGACATGGAGAATGGACATGATTGCCAAGATGGGGGCATTTGGCAAGAAAATAATGGGGTAGGCTCTGAACACATCCATGTCAGGCTTTCAGGATTCCCCATAGTCTGTTTTCATTCCCTTCTCTGATGATATTCTTGGTGTATGAATTCAAATTTTGTATGCATTTGTATCCAAGACAAGGAGGCAATGGCCCTGGTAGACACTTTATGTTGATAGTGAACTTGTCTATGAAATGCTTGAATTCTCTGCATAAGCTTATTCTATCATTATGTTGTTGGTCTCAAGTTTCAGGCATACTTTTGCCATATTTCAGTTTGTATATATATATTTTAAAACTATTCCTTAAGGCTGACATGTGCAGCCTGAGAAGCCTTGGGGTATATGAATTCCTTGAGATTGTTTGTAAAAAATACGTGTGCTCATGGCTTTCATCAGATTCTTAAAGGAATCTCAAAAGCTAAAATCAGGATATCATACATCCCCGTTTGCTTGAGAGAGTCCAGTTTATGCCAATTGTCCTGGTGTAATTGTTAATAGCAACTCTTCACTCATAAAAGTGTCTTGGTGTGGATGATAAATTACA